AAAAAAAAAAAAAAAAAAAAAAATTTAACTCCCAGAAGAGCTCCATATGAAACTATACGAGAAGGAAAGGTTTTCACCAACACACACCCCTACGAATTACTGAGATCCTTGTCCTGTGCTCACCTGTGCAATCTGCTCAGGTCGTTCCTGTTGACTTACAGTGTAAACTTCTCCAAAACAGAATTCCTTATTTACCCAAGAAGACTCTGAAGAGCAACTCCACGATAAAACCCCCCCGAAAAGTTTTCCCTGCAGGCAATCCACCAGGCCTTACGCGGGATAAGAACGTTAGTTTGAGCCTGGTTTTTCTGGTTTGGTTTTGTTTAAGCCTACGTGTACAAGGAAACAATAAACATCACTTCCCTACTGTAGAGAACTGAACAAAGACTTTGCCGTGCATGATTAAGATGGAAAAGGAAGTGGCACGGCACGTAAGAAACGGCAGCAGTGCCGAAGAGGGTCCTCTGTACACACAGCCGCCGCCGTCCTCTGGCACTTGCCCACCCCCAAACAGCGTTGGAAAGCACTGCCCCGGACTCAACCGTGGTTCAAACGGTTCTTAAAACCACCCGAGTAGCCCAGGTCTGTGAGCTGGCTCCTCCAGAGGAACCGCTCTGGTTCATAAAGCCATAGTCAGCAAAGAAAGTTGTGGGCCCGCAAGAACTAAGGAGGAGGTAGTGAGTTAGAAGGGGGAGGCTCGCAAGGTTCTAAACTCAAGTCCTCTCCCATACTGTCTCCCGTCATCATTCTCTTCCCGTTCAGGATCACTCATTCACTGAGAACTACACTCAGCCTTCCCCTCCTCCTTCTAACACCCCATTCCTTTCCTTTCGTAAAGCAAAGGTGTTAAAATTACAGGCCTTAGCATCCTTCAGACCTAAGTTCTAAGCCAAGCCAGGCAACACCCTACTCGTATGGCCTTGCATAAACCACCTCTTTCGTGCCTCAGTTTTCCTATGACATAAAATGGGTTTGATGATAAACAGTATGCACCTCGGAGGATTGCAGTTGAGGTTAAATAGAATGAAACACATAAGGTACTTTAGTTATGGCACATATCAACAGAATATTATTATTGTGTAATGGTGGTTATTATTACTACTATTCAGTGGGCTTTTTCCCTCCAACACTCTGCCCCTCACATGCCTTACTCGCCTTCCTCCAACAGGCCCCCGATGGCCTACCACACTCTTTTTATCTCACGCTCCTTTCTCCGATAACCACGGATCCGCTTACCCTGGCCAGCAGGGCCCGCGAAGCGCTAGCTGGCGGGCTGGCAGGCTGACACCCCGACAGCAGCTGCAGCAGCCCCTGACCCGAAGCTCTCCTCCTTCTACCCCGGATCCGCTCCTAGAACCGAGCAAGCCAGTGAGATGGGCGCCTCCGTGCCCAGAGCGGCCTTATGTTCCGCAGCAAACAACCTGGCTGCACCACTCTACCCGCCCGATCCTCCCGACTCGCCTCCTCTCTAGATTCGCTCCAGACGCTCGCGCGCCTGTTCACGCCCGTCCCACCCCTTTTGCGCGCCCCGGCGACTCCAAGAGTGTTCGTTCTGCCCGGGAGCGCGCAGGGAGCAGTGCGCAGGCGCAGAACCAAGAAAGCTGCGCAAAAAAGGTGGAGTGGGGTGGGGTGGGGTGGGGCGGGGCGGCCTCCAAGGACGCAAGCGAAAGGTGGTCAGCCTTAGGCCTTCTAAATCGCAGGATTAGTAGCGCTGGCGGAATTCAAACACGATCCTTAACTCCTCCTCCATTTCGTTTCCTTTTCCGCGCGCTCAAGGAAGGGGCGTGGTCTAGAACTAGCCTCCCACTGGTAGGCGTGGCCTAGAAGACCTAAGCCTGAGGGAAAGGCGTGGCCGGTCGGACCAAATCGCTCAAATCACGAAGACCCCTCCACCTGGCTGTGAAAGACCGTTAAGATCGTTGACAGGGAAGAACTTTGGGGGGACCTTCACTGGGGGAGAAGCTGAACTCTCCTCCCGTGCTCATGAGCCCCCTGGCTTCCCTCACAAAGCATCTCCCTCAAGGGTCCCTTTCAGACACAATTCGTTGAGGCTGGAGTGGCACCCCAAAGCGAGGCTGGTGACGTCCGCCAAGGTCCGCCTCGGTTCCCGCCTCACAGAGCCAGGAAAGGAGCGTTGCCATAGCAACTGGCCTGCCGGAGTTACAAAGGGGACAGCGCCTCCAGGGGTAAAAGCGACCACCGGTGCTTTCCAGAAGCTCGGCGACCTCGGCAGACGCGCGATGGGCCAGCCAGATCCTTGTTTCCAGAGCCGCGGGGCCCAGGCCTAACCCGGGAGCCCCTACGAACCCGCCAATTCTCCAACGCCTGCCCGGGGCTGTGTGACCAGGCCGGGACGCGCCCCTGCCTCATGTCCTCCAGCAGTGGGGAAGGAGACAAAGCCCCGACTGCTCGCCCGCAGCCGTCAGCTAGGGACTGCCCTCACTGTCACTCCCGCAGGTGCCCCGGCGAGGAGGTGGGGGCGGCCGAGCGCGGGTCTTGTCGCGGCCCCACGTGCTTTTACTGAAAGGGGCTGTGGTAAGCTTATCTCCCTGTACCCGGAGTGACCGGCCGGTGGCCTCCCTGCTATCCACTTTTATTTATGTTTTTAGACAGAGCCTGAAGCTGTCACCTTGGGTAGAGTGCTGTGCAGAGGCGTCACAGCTCACAGCAACCTCCAACTCCTGGGCTTAAGCGAGTCTCTTGCCTCAGACTCCCGAGTAGCTGGGACTACAGGCGCCCACCACAATGCCTGGCTATTTTTTGATTGTAGTTGTCATTGTTGTTTGGCGGGTCCGGGCTGGATTCAAACCCACCAACTCTGGTGTATGTGCTGGTGCCTTAGCCACTTGAGCCTCAGGTGTTGCTATCCACTTTAGCACTTTTAAACATTTCCCCCTAAAGGTATTCTCCAACATCCTACTACCATCTCTTAAATTGGATACAGAGCTATCCTTAAGCTGCAATTTCAAACGGAATTCCCTAAAGCTATTCTCCAGGGAGGTGAACTAACTCCCAGCTCCAGCCTGGGGGATGAGAAAGTGGAATGCACTTTCTGAACTTCTCTCCTCTTCTCCCTTCTAATGAGTAGTCTCCTTATCTATAGAACAAGGGTAGAAAGATTAAACAGTTAATAAACGGAAAAACACCCCACACCCAGGAAGATACATGAGGGCGTTCAATAAATGTTTCTGGCCTGTCCTATCTGTAACAAAGTTTATTAGCCGGCCCCCCCCACCCCACCCCCACCCCCGCGCCCCGTGCAAACCTAACAATCATTCAGTTAAGGAATACAGTGACAGAAAAAGCAGTCAAGACACCCTTTCCCAGTCACTTCCCTGGGTTCCTAATATCCTTTCACCTACTTGTGATTAGATTCAAGCCAGGCTGGCCCTTCCAGGCACCCACTAGTCATGCAAAGAGCAGCCTCCACAATCCTTCCTTGGAATTTTGGTTTTTCCTGCAGCACCGGCCCTGCAATACACTCAATCAACAGGAAACAACATTTCCATACCACCACAACCCCTCACCTAGAATGGAGTGTTTGTTTGTCAGATTATGAAAATAAATGTAAAATACAAGAGGATTGTATTTCAGGAGACATCAAATGTTTTAAGTTTTAAAACATTTATGCTGTATTCCTGCTATTGCAAAATTAGAGCAATTATGGAAGTTACTGATTCTTTATAGGGAGGGAGGCCCCCAAATGAATGAGAGGGAACTTGGAGAAGAATATATTCAATAATCTCCTATTTGAGAAAACGACCTATTGTTTTTGAACTGCAAACAATTGAAAGTCAGGACTGAAAAAATCTCAGATGGGAGAGTATAGGTTTAAAAAATTTGAGAAACTCCAGGCTCAGTGCCTGTAGCACAGTGATTAGTGCGCCAGCCACATACACCGAGGGTGGCGGGTTCTGACAAAGTGAGACTGTCTCAAAAAAAAATTTTTTTTGAGAAACTATGGTTTTAAAATAGGTCTCCTTAATAACCAGACAGGTTATATCTGATAACAGGAAGGCCAGCCAAGCCTATTTTTTTTGAGACAGAGTCTCACTTTGTGGCCCTCAGTAGAGTGCTGTAGCATCATAACTCACAGCAACCTCCAGTCTTGGGCTTAAGCGATTCTCTTGCCTCAGCCTCCCAAGTAGCTGGGACTACAGGTGCCTGCCACAACACCCAGCTTTTTTTTTTTTTCCGTAAAGATGGGGTCTCACTCTGGCTCAGGCTGCTCTCAAACCTCTTAGCTCAGGGCAATCCCCCAGCCTCAGCCTCCCAGAGTGCTAGGATTATAGATGTGAGCCACCACGCCTGGCCTGATTTCTATTTTTCAAATGTCCCCTCCCCCATAGCCAAGGTCTGTCATTTTGTATAATGTCTTTTATCAGATTATATGTTTAACTGCAGAATGTACCCAATTTTAGGGGGGGTTAACTTCCTGCTTTGGAAGGTATGCTGTCCCTGTTTTTCCTGCATGATACAAATACCTTCTGCCTCCCAGAAATTATCAACAGATCACCAAACTTCCCTTAAATGTAGAGCAAGAGTCATGTTTCATAACTAAGCACTCGAGTATTATTTTGATTACAGGCAGTCCCCAAGTCACAAACATCCAACTTATGCACAACTTGTACTTATAAACAGAGGCTATTACAGTAAGTCCCAAATTAAAAACATCTGACTGGGGCAGCGCTTTTGGCTCAGTAAGTAGGGTGCCAGCCCCATATACCGAGGGTGGCAGGTTCAAACCAGCCCCAACCAAACTGCAACAAAAAATAGCCGGGAGTTGTGGCAGGTGCCTGTAGTCCCAACTGCTTGGGAGGCTGAGGCAAGAGAATTGCCTAAGCCAAGAGCTGGAGGTTGCTGTGAGCTGTGACGTCATAACACTCTACTGAGGGCGACAAAATGAGACTCTGTCTCTAAAAAAAAAAAAAGAATCTTCTTTTGTACTTCTGTAATATTCTATAATGTCCTAGGAACAAGGGAACCCCAAAGGCTTCTGAATTTCTCTGAAGTTTCTATCCAGATGTGTGCTTGGGGAAAGGGGTAAGGAATGCCAGAGAAAATGATAGACAAGATTATAAATCTGATTTCCAGATCATCGGAGTTTAGAAAGGGGAGAGCCTCAGAGACCCATTCAATCCAATTCACTCATTTTTTCTTTTTTTTTACAGACAGAATTTCACTTTGTCGCCCTCAGTAGAGTGCCATAGCGTCACAGCTCACAGCAACCTCCAGCTCTTGGGCTTAGGTGATTCTCTTGCCTCAGCCTCCCGAGTAGCTGGGATTACAGGCACCCCGCCACAATGCCTGGCAGTTTGGCCAGGGCTGGGTTCGAACCTGCCACCCTCCGTATATGGGGTTGGCGCCCTACTCACTGAGCCACAGGCGCCACCCTCCAATTCACTCATTTTATAGATGAGGAAAATGAGACTCAGAGAGGAAGACATCACACAGCTGGTGGTGTGGCAACACTCTGTTTGAACTCAGTCCTGCCTTCTCCAAAGCTCTCAAGGTTCTTTTCAAGATCAGCCAGGAGTGAGTCATCTTACATAACCTTGAGATAACAAGTTGTCTTTCTAAAGACAGGACAGAGAAAACACCCAGGAAGCCTGAAAAGTATCTCATAGGAAAGATGCTCTTCTCTTTAAGGGTCACCTAACAACCAGATACTTACTGAGGACCTACTATGCGCCAGAGTTACTAATGCCACAGAAATACACAAAAACCTTATATGACATCATTATTGAAAAAAATTACCTGCTACTCCAGGGAGTACTGACCCCATAAGCTTAAAAATTCAGAAAAAGTCAGACACAGTGGCACGCACCTGTGGTCCCAGCTACTCGGGAGGTTGATTCAGGAGTATCACTTGAGCTCAGGAGTTCTGGGTTGTAGTGTGCTATGCTGATTAAGTGTCCGCACTAAGTTTGGCATCAATATGGTGACTTCCTAGGAGCAGGAGGCCACCAGGTTGCCTAGGGAGGGGTGAACCGGCCCAGGTCGGAAAAGGAGCAGGTCAAAACTCCCATGTTGATCAGTAGTGGGATTGCACCTGTGAATAGCCACTGCACTCTAGGCTGGGCAACATAGGGAGACCCCGTCTCAAAAAAAAAAAAAAATCAAAAAGAAAAGAACTGTAGGTGGGCGGGGCCTATGGCTCAGTGGGTTGGGCACCGGCCCGTATACCGAGGGTGGCAGGTTCAAACTCAGCCCCAGCCAACTGCAACAAAAAAATATCCGGGCATTGTGGTGGGTGCCTGTAGTCCCAGCTACTCAGGAGGCTGAGGCAAGGGAATCACCTAAGCCCAGGAGTTGGAAATTGCTGTGAGCAGTGTGATGCCACGGCACTCGACTAAGGGCAATAAAGTGAGACTCTGTCTCTACAAAAAAAAAAAAAGAAAGAAAAAGAAAAGAACTGGAGGCAGAACAGTGGACAGAAACAGGAAAGAAATTCTGGGTGGAAGGATCAACAGAAGCAAAGATTTCGAGAGAGGGATAACAGGAAATAGGAAAAAAGTTTCTACACATTTTAATAAGAAAACAATAAATGTTTGCATGTAATGATGCTTGCATTATTAGAAAGTAGGAAGGGATGGGAACTAATGTCATATAAGAGGAGCCAGACCAAGTGAGGTGAGCCTTCGAAGTCAGGTAGCAAGGTTTGATCAGTACACAAAACAGACCTGGCCTGCCAAAGGCTTATGTACATTATATAAATACCTAAAATATCAAAAAAAAATATGGGAAAAACATGAACAACTTGTACAAAATGTATTTAATTTGTGAGCAAGCATTGAATGTTTACTGAGCCCTTACTTTGTGCAAGTATAAATTAGGCAGGGAACGATGACCAAGATGTGGTCCTCTATTAGCCAAATAAAGTAGGATCCATCTGTATAATGGGACATCATGCAGCCATTAAAAAGAATATGGCAGGGCGGTGCCTGTGGCTCAAAGGAGTAGGGCACCGGCCCCATATGCCGGAGGTGGCAGGTTCAAACCCAGCCCTGGCCAAAAACTGCAATAAAATAAAATAAAATAAAATAAGGAAAGAATACGGCAGCTCCTGGGCAGTGCCTGTGGCTCAAGGAGTAGGGCGCCGGCCCCATATACATGGGGTGGTGGGTTCAAGTCTGACCCTGGCCAAAAACTGCAAAAAAAAAAAAAAAAAAAAAAAAAATCTCTTTTTGATTATCGTGTTTCATTTTCTGTGAGTATTCCAAAGTTTGTAAGAATTGATCATTTGTACTTAACGACTTTTTACGTGCTTTATTTGTAATTATTAAATTATGTTCATGATAGAAAAATGTAAACATAACTATAAGGAAGACAATAAAAGGCACCTATCTCAAGCAAAGTAAAATCTGGGTAAAAAACTTTCCAGTGTATAAAAGTCCTGTGTGCGTGTGTGTATGAAAGAGAGAGAGAGAGGGAGACGACTAGAGAGAGAGAGAGAGAGAGTGAGAGATACTTTAGTTTTCT